ACAGGTGGCAGGATTAAAAGTAAAGATAAAACTAAGATCTTAGTCAAGAATATGATGGAAAAACAAAGGAAAGAACTGACAGATAAATTGAATATCCAGATCACAAACGAAGTGAAATATTTGGGAATATAGCTGCCAGCAAGATTTGGAACATTAAAGGAAGATAATTATTATAAACTAAAATAACAAATTGGGACAGACCTAGAAAAATGGCAAAATCTACAATTATCTCTAATAGGGAGAATATCTACAATCAAAATAAATATACTACCAAGGATATTATATTTGTTTCAGATGATTCCAATTGAATTAAGGAAAGAATACTTTGAAGACTTAAATAAAATAATGTTGAAATATATATGGCAGGGAAAAAAGACAAGAATTAAACTAAAATTGTTACAGGATGAGGGGAGGTTTTGGACTACCCAATTATATTATATTACCAGCAGTTATGCTGATGTAACTGATCGAATGAAAGAATGGATTGTTCTGAAAAATACTAGATTGTTAACACTGGAAGGTCATGATTTACAATTGGGGTGGCATGCATTTTTATGGTATAAGGAAAGCTAAGTACATGGGTATTTTAGGAAACATTATATTTGAGACACTTTATTGTCAATATGGGAGAAAATAAGGAAACAATACTATATGGTTATCAACAATAGAAGCAGTTGCGTATCCAATTGTTTTTAAAATGGAACAGATAGTTAGATATAGTGAAATTTTAAATGAAAAGGGTGATCTCAAAACAAAGCAAGAATTAGATGAACAAGGGATAAATATGAATTGGTATTCTTATATGCAAATACATTCTAGATATGATAAAGATAGTAAGACAGAAGGGCTTATAAAGAACCTTCTGAATTAGATAAAATCTTAACAGGTACTGAAGAGAGGATGATCAAAAAATTATATGGTTATTTACTAGGAGTGAAATTCGAACAAGAGCAAGTTAAAGAAATGATGATTGCATAGGGGTGGGGGAAGGGATATTGTATAGATTTAGAAAAATAGCAGAAATTATGGACCAGAAACTATAAATTAACAATGTCAACAGCTTATAAAGAGAATTTGTATAAGATGTTTTATAGGTTGCACCTACCCCCAGCAAGAATAGCAAAGATGTTCAAGAATAAATCAGCGAAGTGTTGGAAATGTCATCAGATACCTGGATCATATGTGGGGGACATGTGCGGAATCTAAAAGATATTGGACTGAAATACACACATGGTTGGAAAATATGACAAAACAGCATATAGATTTAAAACCAGAGATATTTTTATTGGGAATTTTACCTGAAGGTTACAATAAAGAATTGACATATCTGATTATTAATGTTTTAACTGCAGCTAGAATTGTATTTGCTCAAAATTGGAAAAATTAGAAAATTCTGATAGAGGAGGAAGTGATTAAGAAAATAATGGAATGTGCAGAAATGAGTAGATTAACATTAGCAATTAGAGAGCAACAAGAAAAAGAGTACTATAAGATAGGGGATTTATTTTATCAATGGTTAGACAGAAAAGTAGGAAATTGAAGAATAACAATAGAAATGATACGTTACAATTGATTATTTCTGAATAAGTTATGTTATAATAAAAACTAGTAAGAACTGAGATTTGCTCTTCTAATACTGTTAATACATTTCACATGGTAGCTTTGTAACAACTCCCAACTGTTCATTAATATTCAGAACTCAGAACTTAGGCCAAGAGCTTGGCTAAAATATTCCTCCCTCTTTCCCCCCTCTGCTAAAGAGTGTGTGTGTGTGTGTGTGTGTGTGTGTGTGTGTATTTATCTTCCCATTGTGAGGAGAAAAAAATCCTAATAGGTTTGAGAAATGTGGACAATTATTGCCAGTTTGTATCTGAATTTGTTAAACACTGTCTCTAGCTAGAATAATGTCTTGAAATTACTGAGCATAGAATTTGGACATATGGAGAAAAGGATGGGAGGGGCAAAGATGAAAATAACCTTGTTGCTGTTAACTTTGGAGTGTGACTGACTGAAGTGCATTAGTCGTTCTTCCCTGAGGCAATACAGGTGCGCAGAGTTATTTTTCTTTAATCACTCACATAAATTAACATTTATTCTTTTGCATTAAAATAATTAAATAAAACTACACCCTATATCTTTTATTATCAGATAATATCTTTGAACCTCTGGCTGACAACCTTGCTGTTGGCCGCAAGGTATTTTCCAGGGTGTGTATTACCTACTTTTGTATTAAATAATGTTCTAGGTGGAAAACAAACAAACAAAATAAAAAACCTGATAGCAATCAGAATCTATGCAAAGTTTTAATAATAATAATGCCCAGTAGCAAGTCATGTTTTCCAGACACTTTTCCTGGGTTTGTCCTCCCTTCCCACCTTATCACTTTCATCAGGGTGAACAAAATAGATACTGTATGTGGGTGAGCTGTTAGAGAGCCCGTTTGGTCTAGTAAATAAGGCACCAGGCCAGAAACCAGGAGTCCGTGAGTTCAAGTCCTACCTTAGCTGGCTGGGTGACTTTGGATCAGTCACTGTCTCTTAGCTTATAACATCAGGCTTGAGTGACAAGCCGGTTGCTTTGTCAATTCCTGTTGCAATCACTGGATCAACACTTGATTGATCTGATAAAGTGGACCATATACGGGTCAGGAAGGCTAAAATAGAGAGATGCAGAGGCAGTTATTCATACTATAGAAAGGAAAGAATATAGTAGTATTTTCTTGTGCTATTTTCTTTGAAAGTTTATCCACAACGGCACTCATTACATTTAAAGTAATGTAAAATGGAATGCTTCTGGAATGCATTTTCTAATAACTTGAAATAATAAGACTTGTTTTTTCATTATGCTGTTTATGGAGTATAGTCCTACATGTTGCTATTGTACTTAATTATAAGGAAACATCAGTGCAAATTGTTTGTAGAATTTGGGTATTTCCTGATGAAGCTGTATTATTCTGTCTCTTTATTGAATTCTGCAGATCCAGATATTTCACAATTTCTCATTAGTAACCCACTTTTCTTTTATTTCATCTATCCAAAGAAATAAAACCAAAAAAAGAAAAAGAAAATTGCCAAGAAAATAAAAGCAGCTGCAGAGGTCTTTTTATAATGAATAATCCTAGTAACTGTCATATGCTTCTGTCTTTTCGGGGGTGACTGAGCCAGCTAGATTATGTTGTGATTAAATAGAATTACTTGTAAATTTTGAATGTCATTCCCCAAAGATACATCATTTTCAAAGGTGGAAAGTGAAATTCTGTGTGGCACTTGGTACAATTCAGTATCCAGTGTAAATCTAGGTAGCTTACTTATATACAGTATCATTTAATTTCATATAATGACAACCATGATATATAGATGCATGCCTATTATTTGACCATGTCTTGATACACTTCAAAATATCCAAATAAAAACTTACCTTCCTGTAGGGTATTTTGGAGGGGAATTTTGCTGTGTATGGCTAAAGTAATGCTAGTAGAAAGCTGTGTGGGAAAAGTTTTCAATCAGCAATTGGCATCAAAGTGGCTAAATGGCAAGTTCTTCATGCAAAATATTACTCTGCTTGTGTGGCCATTTCTTTTTGTTAAAGCAGCAAGATTGCTAAAGCATTTCATCCAGTTATGAAACGTATAAATGAATGGTGTCTTTGTCCAGTTGCAATGACCCTTATTCCAGCACACTTGAAAATGTACAGCTTTGTTTACGAACTATTTGATTCTAATGTGTCTTTGCATGTCACTTTGATGTATGATAAGAGTCCATTGAAAAATAACATGTTTTGGAAGTATTTTAGGATATATCTGCTATCCTGAAATATTTGTACAAAAACTCTGTGTCTAATTCTTCCAAAAAAGCTCGTGAAGCTTAACAAAAAGAGATCCAACCTAGAATTAAGGAGAAATGTCCTGTCTGTGAAAATGATTAGTGAAATGGCTTTCCTCAAGAACTTGTGGATGTTCCATCACTGGAAGTTTTTAAGAAGAGATCGGACAATAATTTGTCCAGAGTGGTATTGGGTCTCCTGCTTGAGCAGGGGGACTGGATGAGAAGACCTCCAAGGTCCCTTCTGGCTCTATTATTCTGTTAATATTAATAAAGGAATTCATTTAGTCTCTTTAAAATGGGTGCCCAGCTTATGTTGGCTTAAGAGTTGCATTAGGCTTTGTGTGACACATTGAGGACCACGCTACTCAATTGGCAAGTTCAGAATGTAGGTGGTCTAATTTTGATTGTGAAATAATAAGTTTGAAATTCTGAATCACTCTCTAGAAGATTCTAGTAGGCTAATGTTTTGAATAACTGAACAGTAATATATTAAGAGTCGACTTAGCCCAACACATAATTATATCTAAAATTTTATTTTTATTCTGTGCTGCTTTCATTTGTTTTTCCTGTAGTAGCTGGCAGATATAAAATACAATAAATTATTCAATTATGGTGTAATTTTTACTACCATTATATAACACACAAACATGTACCCCTGACCTAGGAATTGTTTTAATGATGTGGAGAAAATGTGATCAAATCTCAGGGTCTTAGATATCTCAGCGCACAGAATGTACACTTTTCAGGACACATTTTATTAATATGATAGCATAAGATTGTACACCTGTGGTTGTGTTCACACATAGTTTGCCTATTTGTTTATTTTCCGACTTATATGCTCCCCAACTTGCCTGGAGGCAACTTTAGGGGGCTTATATGGTTCATTTATTTAACCATGGTTTATTTAATAACTCACAGTCAAATAATTTGTTATAACGTCAGTCATGGGTTATAATACTGAGTGCCTGAATTAATATATGTTAAACCAAAACTAAAGGAACTATCTTAAGGCATACTGAAATGTGTGAGCGAGGTCAGTATATATGCTTTTCAGGATGTAAGAAGCATAACGAAAGGTTTAAGTCTTTAAATTTTTAATTGTTCCAATTGTATTAACAGAAAGACACATATGATAAGACCTTTACACAGGATAACAAATTCTACTCTTAATTTCAGCCCAAAGGCATGTCATTACTTATATGGAAGATGCAGTGAGTCAACTACTAGAAAGCAAGGAAGATATTGGTCAATATGGCATTGCCAGATTCTTCACTGAATAGTAAGTATATTGCAATCTACCAGTTTCCTTATTTATGGAAAATGGGGAGATCGATCTGATTCTCCCTCTGATTTTATACTAATGCACTCATATAATATGTGCTACAACATAACATTTCCATGGTAAAAAAATACATAAAATAGAATAATGCAAAGATGAAAAAAATTCAACCAACCTAAGCTAAAGTGGAACAATGTATGTATACATTATGTATGTATGTATACATAATGTATGTATACTGTATGTATACTGTATGTATACTGTATGTATACTGTATGTATAATGTATGTATATGTATACTGTATGTATACTGTATGTATAATGTATGTATACATTATACATTATGCAAAATTCCAAAGTTGTTAGCCAACCAATTAAAAAAAGTTGTTCACAACGATGTGTTTTTTTTTCTGATTATACAATGCTTACAAATTTGAGGTAAATCTAATTTTTTAGGGAGGCTTTTCCATAATAAGAAATGTCCTCTTGGAGGATTACAAGAAATTTCTCCCAAGCTTTTTCACTGGGTATCTTTAGATGGTCCTAAATGAACCCTGATTTCATTTAATAGTATATTCAATTTAAGAAAAGCTTAGCCTAAAGAAACCAACTGATTTTTAATTCCCTAGTATGAGTCTTGCCCAGTCATGTATTTGTTAATATCTCCTAGAATTAGATATAAACTTCAGAGAAGCTAAGCACAAACAGCTAGGTGGTGTAACCAGATATTAACTGGATTCAATTCAGTAGAAGATATATCAAACATTATTTTATAATAACACAGTAGCCAGTCCTAAGTTCTGGATGTGGGAAAAACATTATATTACTGAATTTGATGACTGATCTCATTTTACTGATAGTCTGATATTTCTCTGATCTTCACCAATTTGCCATGTGATAGACTTGATTGTTATTTTTCCTGTTTTTGAAAACTTCTATATGAATAGAATATTGATCCTTAAGACATCTCCTCCTCTTTTTCTAAAATAGAAGATTATGTGCCATTAAGTTGGTGTCCACTCTTAGCAAACTCAATATTTTCTTCATGAAGAATAGCTCATAGAAATAAAAAATCTATTTTAATATAGGTAATATGCTGGCAGCTCTATACAGTAGACTAATCAAGAGGCAGATGGTGAGTAAGACTAAAACTAGTTTTAGTGGGATAGGTACAGGAACAAAATCTTGCAAGTCTGAATGTGCTTCCCCTCATCCCTCTTCATATGAATTAGGGGGGCACCTGTCTTCCTCATATCTTCATATGACTTAAGCCATGTTTATCTGTTTGATGGGTTGGTAATGGGCCTTCCCTTTTTATTGAAGAATTTTTTACAGGATAAAAATATAAAAAGGAAATAAAGGAAAGTAAAAGAAAAGTGGTGAGAAAAGAATACAGAAGTGAAAGAAAAAGAGAGAGAAAATAGAAAAACTAAATGTCTTCCAATTTACAGCAGTTACAATGCATAAGTTTTATCATCTTTCCCTCCCTCCCTCCCCCCCTCTCTCCCTCTCTCACCTTATATCATAACTCCTTTTTTCCACAAGCTACATTTTCTAATCATCCAATTTATAAATCACAAGTACATTTTTTTCTATTTTCAGCAAAAAGTCCATAAAGAGTTACCAGTCATTGACAAACATAAGTTATTTTCTTTTCTCTAATTAAATATGTCAATTTTGCTCTGTTTGTAAATTGGCTTTTTTACCTATCATTCTTCCATTTAGGTACAGTATTTCAAAATCTTTTCATCTTCATGTCATTACTGTGTAACAAAAAATATATATCCATAAGTCATTTCTAGTTGTTTGTCCATTAGATCCAGCAAGAAAAGCAGATCTTCCCTCTCTGTATCAAGACCGTCATTTGTATCAGGCCTGTCCAACCCATGGTACGTGGGTTTCATACAGCATGTCAAGCAGTCTTATATGGCTCACCAATGTTTTTTAAAAAGTAAGCCACTGCTGCCACTGTGCCAGAAGTTATGCTGCCAAGTACCTCCAAGCCTCACTGCCATCCACCAGCTCCAGCTAGCTGCGGAACAGCTGAATGGCACTTCAGGTATTTCTTTACAGCCCACAAGTATTTTTCCCCTCAACAAATTGTGCAAATCTGATCTATATTCTACATATATTTGACATACATGCAATCACTTTCTGAGGATATTCTGCTTTAACTTTGAAAAGAAGAAGTCCTAATGAAATAAAATCTGTTATCTGAAAAGGTTAGCATGTTTGGCTTCATGAAGAAAAGATGCAATGAAAAACACAGTGAATACAAACAAGAAAACGTAAACCCGGTCAATTTCTGCTTGATCTTAGAAGTGGAATAATGGGGAATTGAGGGGGTGAGGTATTTCTCTTTTAAGTCAGGTGGCATGGGAGAGAGATCACAGTTTCTGAGAAGGACAAAGTGGGAAATGCCATGCTGTGTGGGTGGCACAAGTTCTTGTTGTTTGGTGAACATTTCTGGAATTCCTAAAATTCCTTGTGGTTCCCAGCAAAATATTCTGCCTAGGCAAAGACAAGAAGTAGCCTGACTTCTAAAAGGGTTTTGTAGGATTGAATCAAACTATACATTTTGCAGAATTGTGTGATATTTTCTTCTGCATTTTTAAAAAAGAGTTAAGTAGCTGAAGGCAGGTTACAGTTGAAGGCTGACTAACTAGCAATGTTCTTTATTTGTTTTCCATCTCAGAATTGTTATCTGCAAACTATGTGTTTTATTTTTGAAAAAAGAAACAGAAACCTACACAATTCCTGCATCTTGATCTAAATAGGTTAGAATGCAATTTGGACAAAGTGATCTTCAGATGGAAAAGGTTAAACAGCTTCTCTCTTTCTCTTTTTTTCTTTTCCAACTGTAGTCTGACTAGGTTACTTTGCATAAACAAAGAAAGAAAAACCAAGGAATCAGAGAACTCTGTGCAGTTGGAGCCAGAATGCTTCTATCATTTACTTATTTACTCTATTTGTACATCTCCCATTCACAGAGGCTCTGTTGACTAACATCAACATTGATGAGAAAAAAATAAAAACCCCAATGCACGATATGAATAAAAGCAACATCAAAACAATAAACTTAAAAAGCACAAAATAATGTACCCACCAGATTCCAGACTTCATTTACAACAAACACTTCTCCTGTGCTGGATGGAACAACCAGGTCTAAACTACTGTCCTGAAATCCAAATGAAAATAAGTATACCAGAGTTCTCTGAGAGGAGGAAATTCGTTACTCTGTAATTCTGTTATATATATATGGATATAGTGATAAAAATACCCAGCACTTCATTCAGAGTCAAAGATGGCATGTCTTAGATTGGTTAGGTCCCAAAACCCCAAACTACTCTGCCTTGCAGGAATTTAGTTAAAGTATATCCTCCCACCCCCAATGCTGAAAGTCTTCAGATGATTCAGACTTCTGCGATGAATCACAGATCACTTCCAAAGCTGAAGCCCAGTCATCTTCATTAGCACTGTCCAGCTAGAATCCAACTCTGTTCGAATCTAACTGATTTTATTTGCCAAATGCTCTGAACGTTCTTTACAGTGACCCTTCAGATGTTCTTCAGTACTGTCTTTCTCTAAAAGGAAAATGACATTATGTTTATTGTATTATTTTTAAAATGACAAGGAAATGGAAATGAAGCAAGAGAATGAATGGTTTTGGAGTTGTAGGAGACTTTTGAGAATTTCACGATTCCCTGAAATTCCATGGAATCATAACATGAAAACAAATACATGGATCATAGGACTAATTAATTTGTTCTTACTTGAGGCACAAATTACTGTGTTCAAATTATTATACTTTGTCACTTCTCTTTTGAGAAGTCTACAATTCTGGGAAAAGTGGAAAAGGGGAGAAAAAAGGATGTCCAGCAGCAAGGTGAATATAATGGTAATAAGAACATCATTGAAGGATTAAGTTGAGGACAGATCTTCATGAAGAAAGTACTGCATATCTATGTGTTTGCTAATCAGCTTGATGTCACCTAATCATCGAAAGGAAACAAGTCTTCTTACAAAAAGCCACTAGGCAGCATTCAGAAGTCACAATAAAATGACAAAACATCTTCTTTTTGCCCCTTGAATCACCACTATCCAAGTTCAGATTTGAACTCTTAATCTGACAGGGAAGATATGAGGTGGGACTTTCTTTAGCAATGGCTGTTTCCCTTTCTTCATTTCCCTAAATTCCTCAGGAAACTGAGCAGCTGCAGTGGATCTGTGAGTGGGGAGAGGCTACTCTGGTATAATTGGTTTAATCCCTTAGTTACCCCCTTATTCCTGTGGCCAATCATGATTTTAACCAAACTATCCACAAATCTTCAGGAAACTCCCAAAATACCTTCTGAAAACAACTGGATTCAATAGGTATCTGAAGAAGACTAATCTAAAACATTCTTTTCCATTGTAGAACAAAAAGAGATAATGGTCTATTCATGAAAAGGGACTAAACTTGGTTTTCCTCACCTTTCAGATCATGTTTGCAAAAGCAGTTAATGTGTAATCTCAGTTTGGCTCTATATACTGTAAATAGGGGCAGGTCAATGACTGTCATGGCAGTCATGTATTCCTATGCTGATCCAGACCCTTCACCCTGGGAGGGCACATTGAAGTCTCCCAACCCCGCGGGAGAAAACTTCCATGTTTGCAATTACATTGAATAGCCCTGGCTAAGCAACAGATGGAATGGTACACCATCATCCAGCCCAACTATGCTTTCTTCCTCAACTACAGAAATAAGACCTCACATCCAGTTATCTATAGAGTAGTGCATCTTGATGCCAGTACAGTCTCATAGATTACAATAATTACAGCTTTCCATATATGCACTAGTACTGATAAAGCTCTTATAGGCAGATCTTTGAGATATTAATTCCCCCTCCCCTACCCCCAGATTTTAGTATGAAAGCCAGGTTTCTCTTTAATCCATAATTAAATCATGGGTGGAGATATTTTCCCCCACAGCAGACCTAGCATTCAGTAACTTGAGCCAA